TTACCAGATATTATTTTTAAAATGTATTTCGATTATTCGTCTACTACTTGTTCGAGTCCAAGTTCTAGTCAAATACGAATTGCAAAGGTGGTTTAACAGCGAAATATTCAATCTCAACAACCAGATAATTTTGACGACGGTACTGATTGATATGATTTTTAGCGTGAGTGCTATTGTTTCATAATTTTCTTACTAGCAGTTTTTTAAATTTTTTGAGGTAACATCTCCTAATTATTATACACCAGAAATACAGTGTCGTCAACCATCTGTAAAAACACTTGCACAGTCCTCAACACCGACACGTGCAGCTGTTCTGAAAGGTAATCTGAAACTTGAAAAATAATTGAATACCAATATATTTTACATTATAGGTTCCTCTGTAGCTAATTGTTCACAAAAGAAACAAAAATATGTAGTTGAAGAAGATGTATCAACAGATTCTGATATTCTTGGTGCTATTAATAAAATAACTCTTCGACTTGAATCATTAGAAAATAATGTAAAAGAATTACGAGGTCAACAAAACTCAATAATGAAGGTATTAGATAAAATATATGAAGCACAATTAACAATATTAAGTCGTAAGAAACTGGTGAGTTTTTTTTGACAATAGCTTGTGTTTTATTATTTGTTTATTATTTTATGAAAGACTGTGGTAACAACTCCTCTTGCTGATATTCCATCAATGTGATACTTGTGATATTTATTTTTACGTGTTTAATTTTGTATCTTTTTGGTTATTTAATGAAATTAATTTATTTGATTAAGAACCATCTGTTGAACCCCAACTACTCTTCTCGGTTCGTCAATTCGTCAACTTTATACTCATGAAGAAATAACAAAATGGTGTTGCATTTGATTGATCGTATGGAGAAAATAACAGGCATGAACAGCAAAAGATTGCTTCAGAAAATTAAACTTTTATTTTACTATTTCTAGGATTAATTAAAGAAACATATTTCAAGGAGCATTTGATCAAATTCGATGTTTTCTGGAAACGACAAGCGAAAAAAAACAATTGGTGGTCAACGACGTTCACTTTGCAATCGAAATGAACAAAAAGAGTAGGTCTCCTGTATCATTTTTATTATATAATTATTTGTTCTATTCTATTTCAGAATTAGACAATTGATTCAACAGCCGAACAATTAATTATTTTCGATAGATCAAAAACATTTACTTGAGGGTGTGGGTGTGTGTGGGGCTGTGGGTGTGTGTGGGGCTGTGGGTGTGT